CAGCACAGGTACGTACAAACACATGTACCTATCCAGCAGTTAACTAACTAAGCATCCACAGTCGACACGGAGGTACTAAGTCTGGGTCTGGATGGACGAATACCAGAATCATAAGCGGAAGAATATTCAATACCTCAAGAGTAACTCTAAAATATGTAGTTCCAGTTGGGAGAAAACTCGGGTTTCTTCATTGGATGTCTACATGGTACTGCGCCACTCGGTCATGAGTGGCGAACGGCGACTCACCTCTGGCTGGTTCTGTACTTCGTACTACGAGGATAGGAGTGCTGGTGCCATAGTATGCATTAACTATCCCCGGATATATCGCCTAGAGAGGGTTAGGCAGATGATAAGGCTCGAGGTGACAATCAGAGTAGTTCAGATGAGAGTTGCCTCACATCCGTCATATCTATCTAGTGTAGTAGTAACTATGATATTAGGGTATACAACCATATATTTAGATGTACTCGGTACAGATTCAAAATAAAATAAAATAAAAGATTCGAAAATACAATCAAAAATACAATCAAAAATAAAGAAAAAGCCACCTCCTAAGCCTAATACGGCCAGGCAACATATTCAACCAATCAGAGAAAGGGGATTCGGGAGGAAGCAGGACTTGACCCAATAAGGGTGCAGGAATGGAGCGACTAAGCCAATTTCAGGACTAGTGCGGGACAAGAGGCCTGAAAATTTTAAAAAAAATTTGAATTGCCATTTTGCATAGGGTTTTGCCGCCCAGAGGTTTATGCCACACGATAAATATCCTCGCCCCCCCTTCTCTTCTCCCCCTCCTCTCCTCCACTCCTGCATCTTTTTTTTTTCGAGGGTCGGCCTCTTCTTTCTTTTTTTGTTTTTCTACTCTGCATAGACAGAATAGAAAAAAAAAAACCTTAACGCTCCAATCTTTGAGCGCTTGCGTCTGAAAATTTGACGCAGTTGAGTCTTTTTTGCTCACTGAAAAAATTCGATACCCCTCATAGAAAAAAAAGAAGGATTTTTCTTTCTTTACTCTAATACCCCTTCTTCTTTTCCGAAACCGCCAAAATTTCTTCCAAAATGCCTGCCGCCAACGTCGCCGCTTCTCCTGCCGTCACTGGCAAGGAGACCGCCCAGTCGGTCGCTGTCCTCGAGGACCTCATCAAGAACCTCAACATCTCCACCAGCGCCGATGAGACCAATGCTGCTGCCACCAACCTGGCCACTCTCTTCAGCGGTCCCACCACCGAGCAGACTCTTTCCCTGAAGGCCGTCGAGATCTTCAAGAAGCAGCTCGCCAACAAGAAGGACGCCACCGCCCGTGAGCGTGCTTGCGAGGGTATCCGTGCTATTGCCTCCCACTCCACAATCGCTCCCGGTGTTGAGCCTCACCTCGTGTCTCTCCTTGGCCCCGTCCTCGCCGCTGTCGGTGACAAGATGGTCCCCGTCAAGCAGGCCGCTCAGTCCGCCGCTGTCGCCATCGTCCAGGCTGTTAGCGGTAACGCCGTCAAGGCCGTTATCACTCCTCTCCTCGATTCTCTTGCCAACGCCCAGAAGTGGCCCGAAAAGATGGCTGCTCTCGACTGCATCAACATCCTCGTCGAGTCTGCTCAGATGCAGCTCGGCTACCAGGTCCCCACTCTGCTCCCCGTCATCTCCGAGGCCATGTGGGACACCAAGTCCGAGATCAAGAAGGCTGCCTACTCCACCATGGAGAAGGTTTGCGGTCTGATCGTCAACAAGGATATTGAGCGTTTCATTCCTGAGCTGATCAAGTGTATCGCCAAGCCCGAGAACGTCGCCGAGACCGTTCACTTGCTCGGTGCCACCACTTTCGTTACCGATGTCACTGGCCCTACCCTCGCTATCATGGTTCCCCTGCTTGACCGTGGTCTCGTTGAGCGTGAGACCGCCATCAAGCGTAAGACCGCTGTCATTGTCGACAACATGTGTAAGCTCGTGGAGGACCCCCAGCTTGTCGCTCCCTTCTTGCCTAAGATGTTGCCCGGCTTGAACAAGAACAACGAGACTCTTGCCGACCCCGAGGCCCGTGAGAAGACCCGCCAGGCTCTTGACACCCTCTCCCGTGTCGGTAACGTCGTTGACGGCAAGATCCCCGAGGTCTCCCGCGCCGGTGACATCTCCACCGTCGCTGCTATCCTCAAGGAGATCCTCGAGGCTAAGCACAAGGACATCATTCCCACCTCCGAGGAGGCCATCAACTACATTGCTGCCATCGCCGCTCAGCTCGTTGACGAGAAGGAGAACGACCACGTTATCTGGACCCAGAACACCATCCCTTACATCACTGCCCTCGTTGGTGAGGCTGATGCTAAGGCTGTCGCTGAGGAGCTCCGCAAGAAGGCCTGCCCCGATGCTGCCGCTGCTGATGCCGTTGCCTCCGATGAGGAGGAAGGTGTCGACCTTTGCAACTGCACTTTCTCCCTGGCCTACGGTGCCAAGATTCTGCTGAACCAGACTCACCTGCGCCTCAAGCGTGGTCAGCGTTACGGTCTCCTCGGTCCCAACGGTTCCGGAAAGACCACCCTCATGCGTGCTATCAACAACGAGCAGCTCGAGGGTTTCCCCAAGAAGGATGAGGTCAAGACCGTCTACGTCGAGCACGATCTCGACTCTGCCGATACCGAGCAGACCGTCATTTCCTGGACCCAGAAGAAGCTTGCTGAGGTTGGCCAGAACCCTCCCCGTGAGGAGCTCGAGGGCAAGCTGCTCAACGAATTCGGTTTCTCCGAGTTCCAGATCCAGGGTCCCATCACTGCCCTTTCCGGTGGTTGGAAGATGAAGCTCGCTCTCTGCCGTGCTGTCTTCGAGAACCCCGATATTCTCCTCCTCGACGAGCCTACCAACCACTTGGACGTCAAGAACGTCGCATGGCTCGAGAACTACCTCAAGACCTCCCCTTGCACCTCCATCATGGTGTCTCACGACTCCAAGTTCCTCGACAACGTCATCCAGCACGTCGTCCACTACGAGCGCTTCAAGCTCCGCCGTTACCGCGGTACTCTCTCCGAGTTCGTCAAGCAGCACCCCGCTGCTAAGTCCTACTACGAGCTCGGTGCCTCCGAGATGGAGTTCAAGTTCCCCGAGCCCGGTTTCCTTGAGGGTGTCAAGACCAAGTCCAAGGCCATTTGCCGTGTTAGCAACATGTCCTTCCAGTACCCCGGTACTCCCAAGCCCCAGATTCACGGAATTACCTTCCAGGTCTCCCTTGGCTCCCGTATTGCCGTCATCGGTGCCAACGGTGCTGGCAAGTCTACTCTCGTTAACGTCCTGACTGGTGAACTTATCCCCACCGCCGGTGATGTCTACCAGCACGAGAACATCCGTATTGCCTACATTAAGCAGCACGCTTTCGCTCACATCGATAACCACCTTAACTCCACTCCTTCCGAGTACATCCAGTGGCGTTTCCAGACCGGTGAGGACCGTGAGACTATGGACCGCGCCAACAAGATCGTTACCGAGGAGGATGAGAAGGCCATGGACAAGATCTACAAGGTTGAGGGCTCCCTCCGCCGTGTCATTGGCATTCACTCTCGTCGCAAGTTCAAGAACACCTACGAGTACGAGATCTCTTGGTCTCTGGGTGACAACGTTGGCATGAAGTCCGAGAAGTGGACTCCTCTCATGTCCGCTGACAACACCTGGTTGCCCCGTTCCGAGATTATTGTCTCTCACCCCAAGCAGGTCGCCGACGTTGATCAGAAGGAGGCCCTCGCCTCCGGTCAGTTCCGTCCCCTTGTCCGCAAGGAGATCGAGCAGCACTGCGCCAACTTCGGTCTCGATGCCGAGCTTGTTTCTCACTCTCGCATGCGTGGTCTCTCCGGTGGCCAGCGTGTTAAGGTCGTCCTCGCTGCTTGCTCTTGGCAGCGTCCCCACCTTATCGTCCTTGACGAGCCCACTAACTACCTCGACCGTGACTCTCTCGGTGCCCTCTCCAAGGCTATCAAGTCCTTCGAGGGTGGTGTTGTTATCATTACCCACTCCCGTGAGTTCACTGAGCACCTGACTGAGGAAGTCTGGGCCGTCAACGACGGTGTCATGACCCCCTCCGGACACAACTGGGTCCAGGGTCAGGGTTCCGGTCCCCGTCTCGACGCCAAGGGTGACGATGATGAGGACAAGTTCGATGCCATGGGCAACAAGATCGTTGTCGAGAAGAAGGTCAAGCTTACTGGTATGTCTCTCAATTATTTCTCGCTTATACATCACAATTTTCAATTGCTAACTGCTTTCTTACAGGCTCTGAACTTCGCAAGAAGAAGAAGGACCGTGCTGCCCGCCGCAAGCGTGGTGAGGAGGTCTTCTCCGATGAGGACGCTTGAACGCCCAATTCGGGTGTTTATTGATGCATATTATGATCGGTTGATGAATTTCATATGCTTTGCTAGGACAAAATACAATTCTCTGTTCAAACATTTGTTATTATCTTTTGAGAGTTCTCTACATATGTAATCTCGTAGTTCAGAGTATGAAGCTGTCTTGCTCATGTCAAGGCAATTCCCCGATCTCCAGGAACGACTAGTTGGCCCTTGTCCTTGGCGATTGACTTCGTTTTACCATGTGCATCACATGCATGCCGTATGATTTGCCTCTCGCCCTGAAGTCAAATTAGCTTCCTCTCGTTGTAAGCCAGCATCATCGTTGATTTGGTACTCGAATCTCGCTATATGTTTGTTGTGACTAGTCGGCGCTTCCCGTATTCAGTAATGTGATTGTAATGTAAGCCTCGGTAGATTTATTATCCGAGCCATATAAAGTGTACACACCATGCTATCTCGTCTACTGAGAGTACATAAGTAGATAAGCATGGAACTCCCTCTCCCATGGATCCCTTCACGACTCTGCCTTCGGAAATTATCCAGCAAATTCTTTCCTACATACCTGATTTTGTAGGCATTGAAAGTCTTCTTTCTGCTTCACCATGGGTCAAAACAATCTTCCGGTCACAACCTCGCCGAATCACGCTAGACCTTATAAGGTCAAATCCTATCACCACGATGCCAGAAATCCAGCAGCTGCTCTATAATATTGCTACTATCAACAACCCCTCGACTTACTGCAACAGCATTGATAGCTACCTGAAGTTATGCCCGAATGCACAAACGGATAGCATGGCCGAGGGTACTCCATTTGGTCTCCCCGATCAAATGACCACCCAGGAGATAATTCACATCATCCCCCTCGCGGCAAGTATCCAGCGTCTTGCATGTATGTGCCTCTACACTATGCAACAGAGTTTCATCTCAGCAGTGGGAAAGTCTCTTGGCTCCACAGCAGCCCAACGGGCAGCTGAACCTATTGTTTGGATTGAGGAATATCGTGTATACTGGGTTCTATGGCATTTCCAGCACTATAGCACCCTTCGGAATACCGCGAAGTACCGCTGGAACTGGTCAAAAGAATCCTGCAAGGATTTGGGCGATACTTACATGACTTGGAACTACATTTTTACCGGCTTACGAGAGCAAATATGGACTGTAGCTAGTGTTCTGGGGGACTTGGGATTGCATCCATTATACGGACATTCCCATAATAAAAGGGCCGAGGAGACAAACCTGGAAGAGGAAGAAGGTCATGAAGAAGAATCCTCAATTGCCGCTTGGGAATTCCCCGCCGAAACGCCCATTCCAATCCCGTTCTTCTCATCGCTAGAACCACCTCCACGTCCTCATTCTAACCAGTGTGACTTTCCAATCTGGAGCCCTGCTCCACTTCCAGACGATGATTCCCAAACCGAGAAGTTTTGGGGTCGAACTTCGCGCTCTCGGCTTGAGATGTCCAATTGCGCGCCAATGATCCACGCATACACTTCCATAATCAAATCTCGTCCAGTTTTCCAGCAGGCTTGGCGGGATATCAGACAATTTGAACCGTTTCGACGTATCGGTGTGATGGTGTGGACTAGATGGCGCATGTACTGTGTCGGGCTGTATTCGTCCTGTCCGCGAGGTATAGAAATAAGCACCCCGGATGGGGACTACGTTCGAGAAACGGACTTCCGGCTGTCAATGTATGATATTATTTCAAGATGGCTGACATTGGTTGGCAAGCCGCCGCCAGATGTGGGCGAGAATTATGATAACAGTCCTTCTACATTGGCTAAGATCATAAATCCTCGTTGATAGTTGAAAGATACTGGTCAAAATATCAGTCACAGAAACTATACCACCATCCAGCTTCTGTTTAGTCATATGCATCTAAACATTGAATTCCCTCTTCATGATCTTTCTGGTTCGTCCGGAGGAGCCTTCGCGTATATTTCAGGCTATGGTTAAGAAGTACTTGAGGGGTAAGCATATGTATGCCTGCGTTAAAGAGTATAAGAGATTGCGATATATCATTACTATTAAATTGTGAAACTGTGTTTTGGTGATACGATGTTGAGCCTCTCGAGCTTATTCCGTATGCTAGTATCCCAATGTAGGAATCTAGGTAAATCTTGAGCTCGTTGGCATCAGAGTCATGTAACTCTCAGACATTGTGCGCCTGTTTAGAAAAGTCCCGCTTGTTCAACATGTCTGTTTCTCCATTGATTTACAAGAAACCACAGGTGATTTCAATCAAGCCTCGACTGGGCCGACCTTGACATCAACCCTTCTTTGCAGCTCAGCCATGTTATCCACTTGCCGTAGCTTTTTCCGCTTCTGAACCTCCAAGTCCTTGAAGCGCTTCTTGCCTCCATGCTTCAGCTTTGTAATCATATCAGCGGCTTGCCCGCGAGTCAAGTCCTCCGGCTTCACATTGCCATCTCGAATACGAGCTCCGTTCAGCATTTTGATTTGTCCCGGTGTTGCTTGGGCCCGTCGCCAAGGTTTCCAGGATGCGATGTAATGTTCATCAAACTTGGTACTCGCAAAGGTATCCGCTGCCCGGACAATGCTTTCCAAATCCGAGCCAGTGGCGATCTTCCGAGGACGTGTGAATTGAGGTGCCTCATTTTCTGGGTTTTTGAATTTCATAACATGATGAGCCGTGAAGATATTGTCCCCTTTTTCAATCGTTATCCAGCCAGATATATCGGTAAGCATATATCTGTCATCGCCGACTCGGACCCAGTTATGTGGACTGAACGACCTGATGTGTCGCTCGGACTGCATGTCTCCTAGGAGATCGTATATACTGTCATAAGTTGTAAATTGGAGTTTCAAGTCGTTGTCTGCGCCATCATATGGTTCATCGGCCTCAGGGGTGGGCTCTGGTTGGCTACCCTGATCATCATTCTTCTTCATATCTTCCACGCTGGAATTATCCAAAACTTCGTCTGGGTCCAAGCCGAACAACGTCGGTGTTGATAGAACTCCAGTTGCTAGCGAGGCTACCATGTCAATAACATGGCAGTCCTTTTTCCCGGGAAAGAGCCGAAGCCCACGCCCGATCATTTGAATGAGCAGGTTTCGAGATCTGGTGGGTCGAGCTAGGAGCACGCAGTCGATATTTGGGATGTCCGTGCCTTCTGTGAAAAGACCACAATTTAGCAACACTGGGAATTCTTGATTTTTAAAAGCCCGTAGCTGCTCCGAGCGGACGCCTTTGGCCGTGCTAGCTGTGATATACCTGGCATCGACGCCATGGTCGCGAAAAGCGGCGGTAAGCTGCCGCGCGTGCTCGACATCGACACAAAATACAAGAGTCGACTTTCGATTCTCAGCACTCGCCATCCATGCCCGGACTGTGATGTTATTCGTAGATGTAGTATTCACCGCCTCGGAAAGCGATCCCAGGGCAAAGTCTCCGAAACTATCTTTCTTGACTTTGGACAAATTGGCACCGGACTTGACAGTCGTGAAGACCGCATTGGCCAACCAGTTCTCACCAATCATGTCCACGTAGTCCTTGTGATAGACAATATGGTCGATGGCAGCGCCCAGTTTGAGACCATCGAACCGTGAAAAAGTGGCGGAAACACCCACCAAGACCGGTCCATCGGCAGATGGCTCGTTCAGCCCAAAATGCCCCAGCGCTTCACGGTATGATTTGGCAACGATATGATGAGCCTCATCCACCAACACAAGCTTGAATGCACTCGGGTCGAACTTGTATATGCGTCCCCGGGCTAGTGTCTGAACTGACGCGATGATAATGTCCCCTGCTCCCGTCGCAACATTCTTGCCCATTTCTATTTCGACAGTCTTATCTGGATACGCGAGACTGCAGTGTTTTGCGGCTTGTTCGACGAGTTCGCGCCGATGGACGATGATCATGGTCTTGGTGGCTTTCGCATCGCGAGGAGGGATTCGGCTGATAAGCTGCGTGAATATGACCTACAAAGATCAGTAACATTCGGAATAAAGAGTAGATTTAGCATTACTGTCTTGCCAGCTCCTGTTGCAAGCGAAATTCCTAGGCGGCGATGGCCTTCACCCAAATACTTCAAGACGGATTGAATGCTTTCCTCCTGGTAGTCCCGGAGCACGATGCTTGGAGGAACTGGGGACTCGGTCGAATTAAAGCGCACATGGCGGTGATGTTTTTGCAACAGAGGAGTCTTCACCAAGTATCTCCTTGGAAGTCTCAACCGCGAGACACAGCGTATGAACTCCATGTAGATGTTCCCAAATGGTTCTCTCTCTCTGGCGAAGCTCAAAAGTCAAGAACAAACAGTGCAAACATGTTTATCGATAAGCGTGCATCTCATAGTGGATCTCGTTAGCTCAACTTTTTTTCTGTTGTTTCTATAGCTCTTGGTGAAATTGACGTGGCAGATTTCATTAAGGGTGCAGCTGTGATGTTTTGCTATCGATCGTCCCGCATGCGCTGCAAATCTGCGAGCTTGAACGATGAGCGACTCCGCCTCCGCCTATGAGCCTGACGACGACCCCGAGTCTGGGTCCGACTTTGAACAACCCGAATCTAAATCCGATTTCGAGCAAACCCGCTCTTCCAGAGAGCGTTCTCCAACTCCAAATGAAACTTTGAACGAATATGATTACCATCGCGACTCATCGTTCGATGGGGTCGGACGACAAATCGGCGAGGCGCTCATGGAACGCGTCCCGCAAATGCGTGGATCGCTCACATTTCTCCGAGCCTACTCCCACCTTATCGTGCAAAACGAGGAGATTATTAATTATTCCTCACTGAGAGAACTTGACAGCCCATACCAAGTCAGCCAACACGGCTCGATGGTCTGGACGCCCACGGAGAAAGAAGTGTTCTTCAATGCACTGGACCGGAAGGGCAAGAGCGGCATCAAAGAGATTGCTGCTGCAGTCGGTACCAAGTCGGAACTCGAGGTTATGGAATACATCCGATTTTTGCATAAGGCCTTGGCGGCCCAGTATGCTTCCGACGTGCACCTGGAGCGCATGCCTGTCTTGAGCGATGTCGCAGCGGCCACAGAGGTCAGCCAGGAGTGCTGCGGATTACTCGATGAATACGCAGAGGTTCTATCATTGAAAGAGTCCCTCGTTGAAGCTCGAGCCGGTACACAGCAACACGGAGGCAATTGGATTCTCACTCAAGCTAGTGCACAGGCTCTGGGTGACGGGGATAACGACGATGTTCGAGGTGCCCTCCGTCTCGCGGCTGGTTTTCTGAACCTTCCAAATTGTGTTCGACTTTCTTATGCTTTGTTCATGAACCTTGGTGGCACACAAGCCGAGAACAACTGGTGGAACCTTGCCAAGAGGCAAGACCTAATGACAGCGTATGGACATACTCCGTCTATGACCGCAGATACCGCTGTGGACTTATATTCTCTCGCTGTTAGTGTCACGCGCCGCTTGGTGCAATCATCCCTCTTCTTTGCAATGTCAAGATTGCGCAGCTCGAACCGCAGCGGGAATGATAGAAAAGGATATGTTCGAACGAAAGATGTGCGTGCCGCCATTGAAGTGCTCAACATGAAGCACTGCAGGCCTAGCTTTGTGGATATTGCTCGTCGCAATGAGACAGTGCTAGAAGACATCAACAACCGGAAAGGCTGGGTGCCTACATTAGTCACCTACGAAGAAGCCGAGGAGATCATCGACAGACACGAGTGGACCCGATACCGTAAAGACGGAACCCTGTACAATGAAAACGACGAAGATGACAGCGAGGACGATGACATCGAAATGCACAAGGGTACCGGAACGGATGATGACATGGAAGTGGAAGTCAATCATCAAGAGACAAAACCGGAGCCACCACTGGAGTCCGAGTCAGAACCAGAACCAGAGCCGGAACCAGAGCCGGAGTTTGAACCCGAATCAGATCCAGATTCAGAACTAGAGGACTTTGATCCCCACCATTTGCCCACACGAGAGCCCTCCGAACTATCAGCGCCAGTTGTATTTCCAGACGAACTGGAAATGGACCCAGAAGAAGAGGAAGCAGATATCGCAGACCAGAACGCTAGCCATCGCGAAGAGGCCAACTTCCTGACGTTAATGGAACAACCTGTGCCGCCTGTCCTCGACGAACCCATGAAGGCAGAAGAACCCGAGGACGAGACCAAGCAACTGCCAGAGCGCAGAATCAGAGAAGATATCTCTAATTGGCGGGATCGGACTGTCTACCGCAGCGAGTGGGAGGAGTACGGATATGATTTCGCTGATCTGAAGGAAGACATGGAAATGCCTCCGCTGAAACGGCCCAGATACAATGAACCAGCGGTAGTTCTCTCTGCTCCGGTTGTGTCGGACGAGGCAATAATTGATAGTGATGACGATGGGGATGGACCTCAGCAAGGAGAAAATCCACCAATGGCCAAAGAAGCCTGGGTGGAATTCGACGAGACAACCTCAAAGTATGGTCAACCAGGTGACCTACAGGGGTGTGAATGATAGACACTACAATCTACTTTGAGCAAATATATAAGATTCCCCATCAAGGACATATGATTAAAGAGTAAACACATTGATGAAAAAAAAAAAAAGATCCCCAACCCCCTAGTTCAACCCCCTAAGAACAATCCACTTTCTGGAGAGAGGGTGAATCAACAGAAAAGAACTCCAGCAGATAACAGAAAAACAAAAAGTGCGCCTTTTCCAAGCCAGAAAGTTCGAAATATTCATAACTCAGCGAGACGAAAAGCAGTCCCTTTGGGTTCCTCTCTAGAAGATCCCTGGGGGATTATCGTACATATAACGAGTTGAAGCCTACAGGTCAAGGGTCTTGTAGTCGGCACCACCCTGAGCGCTCAGAGGCTGGGTGCCAGCCCGCAGATCTCCGCCAACAGGCTGGAAGCTGTAGTGGTTTCCAATGCCCGTAGTAGCAGCATCAGCCAGCATCTGGTTTGTGTGCTCGTTGGGGCCCTGCAGGCTAACAGTCTGGAGCGCATCCTGGGCCTCCTTAACACGCTTCTTGAACGTCATACGGTCCAAGAAGAGTTGCTGGCGCGCCTGTTCCAACTCACGGCGCTCGGCCTCGATAATCTCTTCCATCTCGTTGAATTGCTGCAGCTTGATCTCGAATTTTTGTAGGGTGACGTTAACTGCAGCGGAGACCAAGCGGGTCATTTCACGCTCCTCGTGCGAGGCAAGGGCTCCGGCACGTGCGGCAGATGCAGCCAGGGCGATGGTGCCAAGGGTCTCCTTGGGCTTTGCAGAAACTTGCTGCTCGGCCTCACGTGCGGGGTCCACGTCCATGGAGTCTTCGGACTTTACTGCATCTTTGCCCTTGTCCTGTCCCTTCTCCAGCTGGCTCCGGAGCTCCTTGCGGATCTCCTCGACAGACCGACCGGCGGCGGCGGCAGCCACTGCGGGCTCTGCCATCTGGGCCAGGAATGCCACAACCGAAAGAACGGGATTTTCAGACTGGCTGATGGGGTCACGTCCGTTACCAGAATGCGGCTCGGGGACATCCTCAACGTATTTGTCCTCGATCTCCAGCTGTAAGAACTTCACGACACACTCTTCCCGAGATCGTGTGCCAACGTGGCTCGCAATTTGTTCCCAGTTTTCATCGAAGTTCTCCAGGCCTTCCAGTAATAAAATCAGTTCCGAGTCCGACCACGGAGTGCCTTTGTCAGTCAAATGAGAGTAGCCCTTGTCCTCGAGCTTAACAAAGTCCGAAGCATTGTGGCTAGAAGGCATTCGCCCTTGAAGGAAGCAATTGGGACACAGATCATACTTGGTGTCTGGCGTAGTGACGTTCGCTGATGTCGAAGCCGACTTGGCGTAGTGGAATCGAAGTTTGGTGCAATCAATACCGCAAGAGAAGCAGTGTGCCTTCTTCTTGGATTCCTGGGCAATATCCAAGCCGTTGGTTGCTTCGCCGTTGGTATGCTTCTCTTTATCTTCGGCGGAGGTGATATCCTTGCCTTTTTCGTCATAAATGGTGCGGCGTAGCTCGAGGTTGAGGTCGTCTTTAGATGCGGGGATGGAAGAAGCGGCACGCTGTGTGGCTGGATGAATCTTGCCGGGCGTCACGCTGTGATTTGGTCCAGGTTGGAATGGCTGCAGACCCCGTGGAGTATCTGCGATAACTCGGAAGTGACCGGTGAATGGCGGTCCAATGTTGGATGGCCGTGTCTGAGGGTCAACCTGCAGAGAAGTTAGCTAAGTTATTTGAATAGAAAATACAAGGCTCCTTACCTGATAATTAATCAAGCCCCACTGCTCAAGGAATGAGTGAACACGCATAATAGCACAGACATCACCCGCAAGGTTGCGACGGCAAGCAGTAACAGTCAAATACTCGATGGGGTTCAATCGATAGGTATTGATCATGAAGTCTCGGTAATCTTTGTATGTTGCAGGAGTCTTGCTGCGGTTGCGGCCATTAAAGAACTCGGCGAGAGCCTTCTTCTCAATTGGATTGATAGTGTTCATATCAAACCATGTCGCATAGCTGGGGAGGATGATGGCGTGTGTTTGGGTGACGAGTTGTTCGCGTGCGGCGGCTTCTAGAGACGACTTAGATGGCGCGGGTTGTTCTTCACCCACAGCATCCTCAAGCCCATCCGCCCCCTCCACTTGCGGATGCGACTCGCCCACAGCATCCTCTAAGCCCTCCGTGTCGGGCTTGGCGTCGGTTTCAGTACCACCCATCTCTTCGTCTTCCGGTTCAACTTCGCCGTTCCGAGGTTTGGGAGACGCGGGGGCGTCCATCGGGTTGTCAGATCCAGGTGTGTTCTCAATCTTCTTCACGGGCGAATCCTGGCGCGATTGCGCTCCTGTCCACGAATTTAGCACCCGGTGCAACGTTCAAAGCCATTTGAGAGTAGACATACCTGAGGCTTCGCGAGCTGCATCAGCTGCGCCATCTAGACCAGTCACAGACTGGACATTCTCATGGGCCGCAGCTGGGTTGGTGGGAGTGTCATCCATGATGGATCAAAGCAAGCAAAGCAGCTGTCGCGGTCGGGCAGAATGTCAACTCCTTTCCCGTGTATCAATCTGTCTGCCGTGTAAAGCGCAATAGTACTATCGAGTAGAACAGGGAAAAGCCAGCAATGGCGTAAATCAAGGCCGCGGGAGATGGACGAGGAGGCCTAAAGTGATGATTGGGCAGGTTGCTGGTGGGCACTTGGGGAGGTTGGTCGCGACACGCAAAACTCACGGGTGACTGCCAAGAACCGAATTGCCACTAACCGCTTTGGGACTTCGCTCCTTTCCCCACGGTCAGGTGATTCAATCTACATTATATGTCAAAGTGCAGGGTTGCATACATGGATTTACATGGTATTAAACCATGGAAGATTATGTAATCTAGCTTAGTCATTAACCGCACAGAAACAGCAGTTTCTATTATGTAGAAAATGCAGAGTTCTCCATATCAGCCCTGAGGTCCATACATTTCAATACGTCAGATTTCTGTCATTATACAAGATATGAGAACTATAACAAGGGCTTGTTTTAATATTTATTTCAATATTTCAGTGATATTATTACTGTCGTTAATTCAAGATTTTTTTTTCAGTTAGCGTCCACAAGATAGTCCACTCCATAATGTGTGGTAGGGTAGGAGAAATATTAGACAGCTATTAAAGCCAGAAGCTGGGTAAACTATGGAAGCCTCAGCTGCTTTATATGTGATAGGTAATGGGTTATTAGCAATATATGGAGGAAATTTTCTAGTATCATGTAGGTTTTGAGCCTACTGCAAAAAGTTTTGTGGCTATAGTAATATTTGACATGAATATGAGAACAGCAAGCTTATATATTGTTGAAGCATCATCCCATGCGCTATAGGAGACATGTACAGGATGGTCCAATTAATCAAAATCATTCAGCACTATCTAAGCTCGCTTACTTCAATGTGGATGTTGAAGAAATATTTATACAAATTCATCGCGCTTATGGCAATGTCCAACAAAAAGGCCAAGATACATATATAAACACCAATGAAAATGATAATACAGTATTATTATTTCGGACTCACCGCTTGCTTCTTCTTAGCCGGTTGCTCGGATTCATCGTCGGTCTCATCGTCTCGGCCTCGCTTGGCCCCAGGAGCAGGAGAGTCAATCGGAGCAGGCACAGCAGCATATGGACGGGTGACAGCAGCAGCAGCAAGTATATCGGGGGAATAAATAGGAGAAATAGTAGGATAAGGCTCGGCTATGCCTGCAACCTCTGCAAGTATTTCTAGAGGAGCAGGAGTAGTAGCAGTAGGTCCGAGTACCTGGATTGCCGCATCTGTAAGCATATCTAGTGGAGTAGGAGCAGTGGCAGTAGGCCCAAGCACCTGGATTGCCGCAGCTGTAAGCATATCTAAGTTAGCAGCAACAAGCACATCCCCAGATGACCCCTCAGAAGGCGTAGCAGCAGGGGCAGGGGCAGGGGCAGCAGGGGCAGGCAAAGGTACCCTCCAGGCGGTATCGGTGAATCGGTAAAACCGAAGAATATCGTATAGAATTCCACCAAGGATGTTCTCAGACTCTATCGACTGAACTCCTGCTGGAAGTTCTCCAATTCTAGCTAGAATCTGTGCTTGAAACTCATTACCGGAACTGCTTGTCGAGAACTGGTTTTGCCAGGTATGGCCTGGCTCAGCAAGCCAAGCGGTCAGCAAAGGATCGTAGACACTTCGGATAAGATTGATAACAGACTGACGATCAAGCACATTCTGTGTATAATCAGAGTTGTCAAGGCGAAGCGGCATCCAGATTCTTTTAAAATTGATTTCACTTCCCTTAATGTTGGCCCGCAATGCCAAGTTGGTTCGAGGCATATTGGAAAATGGTAACGCAAATGATTTGTGTTGGGTGAGATGGTTGGGCTGTTGACTTGTTGGATTGTTTGAGTATCACTGTTGATTGTTTGAATGGTTGCTGGGAATGAATATCGAGAATTTGGGTGGGCTTCGTCGACATTTAAATACTCGAAGACCCATTTGAAACCCGAGTCAATGCCAATATCTATCCAAACTTCCGTTTGTCGTGTTTTAGAACAAAGGAATATGCCAACAATAGAATACTTTGTAAAGTCTTCACCCCCAAAAACTAACATAGGTCCACTGTTTCTTTCAAAATAGACATAGGAGCATTGTCATCCCCTAGAGGTCGAAACAAAGGATCTAGAGGATGAACAAAAGGGATATTAAACTTCTGATTACCCTATATTAGACCGACCCAATAATAGAAATGAATGAATATATATACTTTAGATCAATCACAAGAGCAATCTACTTAGCATTTTCCAACTTTAGAACAATGGAAGTGCGGAACAAGGGAGATGACCATGGACAGTCCAGGATTTTCAACTAACACTACTAGGTCTTGAGTAGTATAATTTCGGCATTGCGCTTCAAGGTGATTATATAGATTTCCACCCTGTCTCTCACCATTTGCTGACGCCTCTGTTTTCGTGACATTAAGGCGACACTCGCTCACTTCTCATTATGGTGAGTCTGAGGTGCCTCGGTTCGCTCAATGGAATATATATATCAACACGATTACAATTTAGAGCCATCTTGCCTTATTCATGCTATTTTAGTACTGCTAGCAAGAATATGAGAAAAAGCATCAAAACGGACGCGCCTAAAAATGATATAGGTAATATCGATAGGATGCACAGCGGCCATTCATTCCATTTCCAAGGTTATCATAATTGTCTTTGATTGTTAACTTTGTTGATGAACATCAATTCCTCACACAGACACTAACATTGTAGACCACCTGATCTTTGATCAGGTGGTATATCAGAAATTCAAAATTTTGTTTTATTAAACGAGGTAACGCACTGGAACAAATTTTTGTGGTGAAGAATATTTTTTTCTAATGTTCTAGGTGGTGTATTGCTAGTATTAAATGGGCAGATTCTTATCGACTTCTTTGTTAATACCAATAGACAAACCTTAACTTCGATTGTATGCCTGGTCCATATTCTAGTGTACGATGTACTAGTATTTCCGTTGCATTAGAAGCCTGACATATCGGCCTGTGTGTTTTCTCCCTTTTAGTATTCCGTACCCTGGAGTTATCACACCCTAGTGCTTGAATTCCCAACTCTGACTCTTCGACCAATGAGATATCGCTGATTCACCCTTTGCGGCCCACACCTACGGGCGACTATAGTGTATTAGGGTTGATGGTTAGTCGTAGGTGTAAAATAAAAGAGAAGTTGAAATTAATGTATATCGTTCAAGAAGGTGGTGATAAAATAGGCTGTAAGGCACTAGCCAATGAGAGAGTTATGTGATGGTGATCCCTATAGTCGCCCGTACACACCGAACCGGCTTGTTATCTGCCCGACCTCGAAGCCCTAAGTCTCCGAGGACAGAATTTCCCCGATCCTAAATGTTGCTGGTCACGCTGACCAACTGTTGAGGTGATAAATCTATAGATTGATGCTTGTTATTGATTAGAAAAGGTAGCATTATAATGGAGGACATGGACTATAAATATTTCTCATGCCCTCGTGGGCTGAATCCTTTCTATTCCAATTACCCTTCTTCCACCTCACGCTAGTACTCAGGTTAATCCCAGCGATCTTCATTGAGTGAAATTCAATATGCAGTCAATTTTGCAGTATCGTCGTATCCGCCGAGAGGTGGAAGAGGACTTGGCACATGTCCAATCCAAACCTTTCAGCTTGCGTCCCAACACCTCGCCATCCTCGCTCGAGGCAAACGCGGATGGTTATACGAGCCCCGAAGCAGAAGAGGACCTAAAGCCAGTGATATCAACTGATATTATCCTTGTGCCTGGTGTCACAGTTTCGCAGCCAAACGGAGCCAATGGCGATCTTGTCTTGGTGGTCGGTTGGAGAGACAATGATCCGAGCAATCCCCTCAACTGGTCACTGCTGAGGAAATGGATGGCCATGTTGATGTGCATTCTGATTGCCATTGCGATGACGGTTCCATCATCCGTTGAGGGTGCAACCCAAGACGCCTTTGATGCTCGCTTTGGTGTGAACGGTATGGCCGGATCAATGGCGACTGGTATGTTATTCCTTCTTTTTCTCTTTCTTTCTTTCTATTGATAATTCTTTCTTATTCTCTTTTGGCCGCGAAGACCAAACCCAATGGGCAATGACTGATGCTGAGTGAATACAGGTATATTTCTCATCGGCATTGGCGTGGGCTCGCTATTTTCTGGCCCTTTCTCGGAGACCTTCGGCCGTAACGCTGTTTATTTCGTTACTCTGGTCTTTGTCATTCTGTTCACTATGGCAAAGGCATTGGCACCAAACTATGGCGCCGCCCTCGCCTTCCGCTTCATTTGCGCTCTGTTTGCAGCTGCACCTATGACGGTCGCAGGTGGAACTGTTGGTGACATCTGGCAACCCTTACAGATCCCTTTCGGCCTACCCTTACTCACCATGGCCGCCTATATGGGTCCCATCCTAGGCCCGGTAATTGGGGCCTATACGCCAGAGATCGGGTTTCTTTGGGCCGACTGGATCTCTATGATAATTGCTAGCGTTGTATTGATAGTCGTGATTCTTGGTCAGCCGGAAACGTTTAGTCCCATCCTACTAGAATGGCGTGCGAAGCACCTACGTGATCTAACGGGCGACGACCGCTATCACGCTGAGCATACTTCTACTTCCACTAGCTCGTTTAGCGCTCGATTGTTAACCAATGTGTACCGGCCTTTCGTGATGATCTGGACTGAACCCCTTATACTCATTTTCAGTTTCTATCTTGTCTTGCTATACTTTGTGCTCTTCACCTTCCTAAACGGTTATCCCTTTATATTCGCTAACGTGTACGGGATATCAACGAGCTTGACGTTTGTCATCTTTGCTGCTATGATTCCCGGCGTTTTTGTCGCTCTGGTTTTGGTCCCTTTGCTTTATCGCCTTACTAAGAAGGCTGCTAAGAAGGCCGATGCTGAAGGCAAAGCTCTGCAGCCAGAAGTGTCTCTGTGGTGGGCTATGGCTGGGGCTTCTATTCTGATGCCTATCTCACTCTTCTGGATGGCTTGGACCTGCTACGTAAGTGCTTGTTGTATCTTGCTGTACGTACCTCTGCTGATACCCTTCTGCTATCTAGTCATCTGTTAGTATTTGGTCGCCGATTGTGGCCTCCGGTATCTTCGGTTACGCTCTTGTCTGCATCTTTACTACAACCTATATGTACACCATTTTTGTGTACCTGAAGTATGCAGCCTCAGCTCTTGGATTTATGACCTTTTCGCGGTATGTCGTCTCCGGCGCCTTGAGTCCGGCCTCGGTCAAGATGTATGAGAACATCGGTCCCCACTGGTCGTTGACAATTGTCGGCATCGTTGCAACCATCATGGCACCGGTACCCTTTGTGCTATATAAATATGGCCACAGGGTCCGTGCGATGAGCAAAAATGCCCAGAACAAGGTTTAAGATGGTCTTTACCAAATACGCGGATTTCATAGACACAGGACATGTTCGTTTCTTCTCGCGGTGTTCCTTCACAAATAACGTGTATTGTATATCTTGTTAACTTGTCAAGCTACGACATGATGTCTTTTATTGACTGGGTGTATATAAAAAATATCTATTAATTTTAATTTTATAAGACGTTCGCTCAATGACCGGGTTGTGGTAAATTGGCCGAGACAAGCAATGAAGCTTTGAAGTGCCGGGAAGACTATTGTATATATGAGTTCCTTTGCAGTACTGATATCATGAAGAAACTACCATTTTCTTTTTGGTAAATTATTTCTGGTTGTTAGGAAATTTATATAATCTGTTTAGGCAGCTACTGGATTGTAGGGGAGAGTTGATTGCTATGGAACAGGATCTGCCGACACTAACTACGAGGGGTAGATGTCTGGGGTACCACGTGGCCGCTTCAGGCCACCACAACATAATCCCATGGACAGTTCCTTCTTCCAAGGTTGTTCATAGTTCTTATATGATCTATTGATTTGATCTTATCGAAAACCTCCCGAACTTTTACCGCCAGCCATTTCTCACCGCAGCTTCTGGAAAAAGAAAAGAAGAAAAGAAAAGAAAAGGGTCCACTAGGCAGCAGAAGTTACAATTAACTACAAGCCCCAAATCATTCTCAACTATTTTTAGCATCCGACGTCATCTAAAGACCCTGCAGATCAGTTCACATTTTACAACATTTTACTCCGTACGGAGTACAGCAACTAATATCATTGGAACACAGAAGCCTAAAACAGAAGCCGTTAAACCGCAGCCTAAAAAGTTGTTATAATATAGCAATTTCCTATCTGGGAAAGTGGTTCGGGGAATTTCCTGAAGGGGTATTTGTGGGGTTACATCAATAGATTGCCAAGACACGGATATAATTGGCTATTCCGTAAAAGCTTACTTAGGAACCACTGATATTGGCCATTTTGTACCACAGATGTACTCTGTATCCTCATTCCTAGAGGTTCATTTATGTAGGTTACCACATAAATTGTCAATCGATGTCTTCAATTTGGGTTATCTTGCCCGATTTAGGTTGGATCTCGGAAGTAGCGCGTGGGAATCCACAATGTTTACAAGAATAGTCACCCCTTGTCCAAACCCCGAAGTTTCAGCAGGATCCTCGATGGATACATATTATGCTTTTTTTCTACAGATATGTAATATGGTTCCAAGGGTTTTATTTTGTGTTTTATATGGGTCAAGAGATCCCGTTGAAAATTTTAATCGGGATCTGCTATAATACCATGGGAACTAACTATGTTGTAACTAGTTATGTTGGACCAAGTCAGTTAACTAGTTAGTTCTCAACGCGAATATATCCATGTATGGCTTTGAGAGGTTCGAGCAATCGCTAACTAGATGTATTTAGTACTTGTCGCTATAGGCTGTTTTTGCAGCTAGTGTCTATCGTAGATTTTGGACCCTACACTAGTCACCTTGCATATGCAGTCAGTCCCGTGTTATCCTCTGAAGGCAGCATCGTTTCAACACTAGACGTGAAACTACCGCCAACATGACGAAGAGGCCAAAGGGAAAAAAAGTATCGATTCTGACTGAAGCATATGATGATGACCAGGAAGGAAGAAGAAGCTGTCTAAAGATCCAGATCCAGGATAAACCGGCATAGGGACGGTGCATGGGGCCGTCAACAGATGAGTATTGACGACGTATCTTTCTTTGCTTTGCTTTGTATAGACGCTATGGGGGCTCCATATTCATAGATATTCTACCCTATAGCCTGTCAACCAAACCTACAACTAAGGTCCGGTTTAATGATGTTGCTTAATTCAACAGACGCGGATGTAATCGACTATTAGACCCGAGTAAGTCCCTATACGTGCGGTCGTGTGGTGAGCCCAGGCTGTGTGAGCTCAAGCTTCAGAGAATTATCTCGCTGGATAAGATTAGGTAGGCAACAGTATTGGACCACCCAAACATTTTAATATATCATTTAGACCCTGCCGATCACCGAATGATGGAGCCGGCGCCAAACATTGTCGTGGGCTACGCCAAGAGCACTGTCTCATTTGGTATTCCCGTGGCTATGGGTTTTACGACACCTGTTCTGGTATTATACATCTTGCTCTCATGATAACAAAAAATGCACCTGCATATATAACCATATTCGCTACTTGAATTGTTGTCACACAATGAAACTATATGAGTGTATAGGGTGCCTCTCCAAGTGGTCTTAGAAGGACCCTTACGCAGGAAGTAGTGGATCTTCTAAACAACCGAGACCAACCATTAGCACATAAAGTGTGTACAGTATTGTTCTGTAAATATAACAACAGATTCCTTATTCTTTCCATACTAGCATATTGTTATTCCCCTTTTGAATTAGCGAATAAGAGACTAGTCTCTTACCAAACCCTACTCTTTGCCCATTGGAAGTCATTCTTTCGCTTCATTGTCGGTCCTTACTGCTTCATGTGTTTGGAATTGGAATCCTACCATTCTTTTATCACTCTATAAGCCATAATGATCATTGTATGGGGAAAAGGGCGGACAAGGTTCATGGCTGTCGGAATTTTGGCCCTCTTTCTCATCTTTGTCGTTCAACTGCTCAACTTCGCAAACCCCTTTTCAAATCCCGACGAACTGTCCGCTTCAATGGACATAATCACTGCGTGTGCTACCTCTGAATTTGAAAACCATAACGACTCTCACTCTGTCACCGTTCCCCAAATCCCCAACGTTGTTCATCAGATCTGGAAAACAACCGACCTCCGAACCTACTCTACACAAATGAAAGCATCGCACGACCAGTGGAAGCAAGAACTCGAGCCCCTAAACTATACAGTAAAACTCTGGACAGACGACGATATCCTCCAACTCATCAAAGGAAAGTATGCTTGGTTTTTATCGACGTACGAAGCCTATCCGCAGAACATACAACGTGCCGACATAGCTAGACTGCTTGTAATCCATGCAGAGGGAGGAATATACGCAGACCTCGACGTTTACCCGAACTCGGCCGCCGAAATACAATGCCTCCAAAGTCTCAATCTCGAGGCCATATTGGCCCCAACGTCAGGGACCCTCGGGCTAAGCAACCATTTCTTCATGGCGGTGCCCGAATCCCCATTCATCCTATGGGCGCTATACGAGGGCAAGCGCCGCGGCGGTGCGATATCTCGATTCATCCCTCTGCCGTATCTACAAGTCTTTTGGTCCACGGGGCCTACGATGGTGACAGCGGCACTTCGAAATTACGCATGGCTACACGGCACCCTTCGGCAAACTCTAGGATTGCTAGATGATAGATATTCAAGAGCGGTGATACAGCACAAGGCAGGCAGGTCGTGGCATGGATCGGACGGGCGGGCCTTGAATTATGTAGGCGACAATCTAACGATGAATGGTTTGATGGTGGTTGTTGCTTTTTTTTTCCATTATATCGGGAGTTGCCTGTGTCGCGAGAAGATATTGGGTTTGAATGGCGATTTTGGAGTTTTTCAGGTCTTGGACATATTGCATGGGTGACAATGGGTGTCATATATTTTGGTGGATCGGATCAGTCTGGCGTTTTGTATATATTTTCCCGACAACCCTTTTGAGAATATGAGTTACACACTCCTGGTATGGAGATATATATTACGTTTTATCAACATAAGAGTATTCGGCCGTGTATACGGTTTCTGTTCCTGACGACCTAACCGGCCACTGTAATCTTTTCCAAAGAATACGGACCCTCGCTTGCGAGAGTCGGCCACCCATATGCAATGGATATATTTGATGTAATTGATTCCGATTGAGCTCTAGTAGCGATATCGAAAGTTATATGAGAGATAATAACCTTACGTTACTTTCCTTAGCCGATTTAGTAGCCAGTTTCATCCCAATTGTAAATCTTATACGGTAGGAATTGACACCATTTGAATAGATCGGAAAGATGATTAAACTAGAGAAGTAAAACGCCATAATCCTCGCTATCGATTTCTCCTTTAGCTTTTAGTTGATATAATTGAGCCTAGGGGGTAGTATTATAAGTCTTATGTCAGATGGAATACAGGCTATGCAGGAATGAATGTTAACCTCAAGGGATTAATATTGTAGACTCTGGAGAGAAAGAAAAGAAGAGAAGAAAAACTAGCTACTGTCTACCATTATCCTGAGTTCTGTGGGTCAGGATCACCTACGGCCCCACATGGCCGTCACGTGACTCTAACACCCCCTTTAGGACGAAGACTGTCACTATATCTCTTTGTCTCTACCAATAAAAACTCTCTATTTTATTTTCTTATTTTCTACTATTTCCTATATATTATAAACCTATATCTACCCGTAAAATTAGTATATAGATTAATTAAGACCTAATATCTAGATAAACTTTGTATATACTTCTTTATTAAGCGCTTTTATAAACCCGTCGGCGACGTTGCTCTTCGTCTCGACGCGCTATAAATCGATCTTCTTCTAGAAAATAACGTCTTTAACGAAAAACTACTTTATATTAAGCTAATATATACTATTCTTATATAATTTCTTACTTATTAGCAACTAAGTATTAATATTATCTATTAAAATAAATATTATTAAAAGTATAAAACCTAATCTTAATTAGTCTTCTATTAAGTTCCTTATTCTATAAAGCTATTAAATTATAAAGGCTAAATAATACTTACCGTAATTAATAAATCTAATCTTTACTTCTAATATTAAGTTCGGAGTATTTAAAACCTACTAGTTAAACGATATAGATCGTCTCCTAATCTTTATAAGAAGTATTAAGATATATAGCTACTATATTAAACTAACGCTATTTATAATCTCTCTATATAATAAGTATAAAGATAATCTTTATAAGAACGTTCTAAATAATTAGAGTATAGAAGATTAAATCCTTTTTCTTCTACTAGTAGTTACTATAAATTACCTAGCGTATTTTAAAATTATAAATAAGATTATCCTTCGTTACTTTAAGATTAAAAATCTATTAACTCGGTAGAGATACT